GCTTGGCGCCCTGCGCGCCGGCGGCGCCCCGCTTGCCGCGCGGGAAGAAGTCGGTCAGGCGGCGCTGCGCCATCGCGGCGGAGGGACGGGCGGCGCGCCTGCTCGCGCCCTGCCGGCCGCCAAAGTGTCCCGCGCGGCGCGGCGCGCAAGAGGCCCCGCCCCCCCGTTTTCCCGCGCTGGCTCTTAAAGGCGCCGCGCCGCTCAAGGGGACCTCGCAGGGCTGGCGGAGCTTCGGCGGCGGGAAGTACGTGCTTCTGGGGAAGGGGGGCGGGGGCCCTCGCGCTCTGCTTCAGGCATCCCCGACCGGGCGCCCTCCGGACGCGTTGCACCGGCTGCTGGGCGCAGGGGGAGCCCGGGCCGAGTCGCCGAGGGGAGCCCGGAGGCCCAGCATCCTCCGCAGGGCAGCCCAGTGGGTGGGTTTGCGCCGGGGACTGGCTCGCTGGCTGGCTCTCCCCCCCCCGCCTATCCTACGTCGCGGGGAGGTTGTGAGGATAGCGGGAAGGGCACGGAAACGCTTCCTCGAGCTCCTTTGGAGAAAGGGGAGATGCGGCGGCCGGGAGCGGGCCTCGGCAGGGCCGGGGAGCACGTCGCCTTGCAGGTGCACTTGGCCTCCGGCGCCCATCAGCCCCAGCCAGTGGTCGGGGATGCTGGGGGTTGTAGTACACCGGCGGGGCGTTGGCTCCCTCCCCACCCCCCGGCCCCGGTGGCGGCGGTCCAGCTGTGGGGGCAAGGCATGGGCCCCCGGAGCCCCTGGGCTCGGATCGGGGGGGACCTGCCCCTCCCTCGTTTTGGGCTTTTTCGCAGGCGGCCTCCAGAGACCCCGCAGCCCGCTCCCCTTTTGATCAGTTTCCCTCGTGTCCCGAAAGTGCTTTGTGGGGGTGCAGGCAAGTGTCCCCTGCGTGCGAGAAAGCAGGGGGGCTCCTTTAGGACGCTTCTAGGCGGCTGTTAAACTTCTAAAAAATCTGCCACCCTGTTACCAACCCCCCTTTTAATCTATCCTTTAAATATATAAAACCAGTCAAGCATTAAACACCGGCGCTCCAATTATTTTCCCGTTTGGTCATTAAGTTCTAGAGCGGAAACCACTCTGTGTATCCTCTCGAGGAGAATATTCCAAATGCTCCACGTTTCCCTCATCGTGTTTGCATATTTTCTGTTAATAAGTTTACATACTTCCTGGCTGAGCTCTGTGGGATTTTCGTCCTAACACGAATGTCAGGGACTGCAGCCTTACCAAGGGAAGACAGGCACTCTGTACATGCTTAAAAGATATTCTCTCCATTCGACAGTTTGTTCCAGAATTAAGCCCTGAAATAGATTCTGGATCTAAGCAATGGGAAGGTTTGGTAAGCAATGACCGTGTGGGAGTTTGTGCTTTTGCAGAAACACGTTTTATGAAAAGAGAAGGTTGTTTATGGAGAACAGGAACTGGGAAAACCAGTTCATAGCAATATTTCATCATTCTTAGGAAAAAAATATCCGTGTTGTCCTTTCTCTTAGTTTAGCGAGGGTGCCCACAACGTTATTTGAAAGTATGGACATTCTGGAGGTGCAATTCCATGCAAGCTTAGGATCTCAGGATGGCCGGGGCTTGCTGCGAATTTCAGGCCTTTTCTCTGGTTTAGACTTGCCTTGGGTTGGCGATGGATACAGTATTTTTATTTTTTTATTTATTTTTCAATTTATATCCTGCCTTTTTCCTTCAAGGGGCTCAAGGCAGCTTACATCATTCTCCTCCTCCATCTTATCCCCCAACAACAACCCTGTGAGGTGGGTTGGGCTGAGAGTCTGTGACTGGCCCAAAGTCACCCAGTTGGCTCCATGGCCGAGTGGGGACTTGAACCCAGATCGCCTGAGTCCCAGTCCCAGCTCTTCACGCTATTGTCCGGAAACACTGTAGTGGCTCACACTGTTTATACACTAATGCACAATAGCAAAAACTCCTGTGACAATACTTCTGCCCCAGATTTTAAAACCCAGACATGTTCAGAAACCCCTGAAAACTGAGCTTGCTAATTCTGCTTTCACCTGATTACTTTTGCTGGGCTGTTCTGGTTTGTAGCCACAGTGATGTTTTTGGTTTTTAATACTACCTTCTGCTGGCGCTTGTTGTTTCTTTGCATGGGAGCAGTCATCACTGGATCAGTTTTTCTTATATCAAATTCTATTGGTTAAAGCTGCCTTGAGAGGACTGCTAGCCTCCTACAAATGCTTTAACAATTAAATCCTAGCCCTACGTAGGAGTAAGGCCCATTAAATTCCCTGGAGCTTACTTCTGAGTAGACATGGCTAGGCTCCTGCTGCTAATCTTTGGTTTAATCATTTGGAAATACTGCTGGAAGTATTCATATCACTGCTCCCCCTGGCAGCATCCCATTGGTCACTCTGTGCCCAAATTGCCTAGGGAAGAATGAAGAGTTTCATTAATTAATCCATTGGAATTTATTTCGCAGAAGATCAGTGCCTGTCCAAACCAAGGCTTGGAGGATGCAGTATTGAATCTGACTCTTGGCCAGAAGAGAGACAGGCAAATTTTCCTGCTGTCAGAACTCAGATTACCTCTTCTTGCCATTCAGGTAAGGCACCTTGGATTCTTTGCAGGAGGGGAAAAAGGAATGTAATGTAGCAATAATTATAATAACTGAACGAAACGCACGTCGCATCTTAATAAACAAAGTGCATTAACGCATCTTAATAAACAGGAGCTATGTTGTCGGAAAGCTCCCAGGTCTCAGCCCCCCGCCCCCCCCCCGCTTATCTGCGGCTGGGTGCGGCTGGGTAGGTGGGTGGAACAGTCTCACACTATCTTCCCAGTGCAGGAGGAGGATGAAGGGCACTTGTGTGGTGGTGTTTCTGCCCTCCAGCACCTCCGTGCGACACAGCAGCACTTTGCAAAACACGAGGCTGCAGCAGGTACCATCCAGGGGTGGTTCCTGGGCCCGGTTCTCTCTCGAGATGGCGAGCCTCCAGCTGGACCGGCACTGGGCAGAATTCAGCCGGACCAAGCTTTCCCCTGCGGCAAAGCGTAACCGTGTCGCTTCAGCATGAAAGGCCCCTGGCTCTCCGTGGGGAGAACAAGGCGAGGAAACACTCTGGGTGACCAGCCTCCACGGCAGCCGTGGCTCCCGAGTGCTGACTCGGGGGGCCCACTGCTCTGTGGCAGAGCACACGCTGTGCTGTGCGGGAGGGGTGCGGACCCTCTAATACAGGGGTCTCTAACACGCGGCCTGCGGGCCAATGGCCGGGACGGGGGGGGCACGGGAGAGGGGCCCTGCGGCCTTCAAAGCACCAGCGGCCCAGCCTCATCCAGCCTCTACTTCCAGCGGCCCCCAGGTCAGTTGAGTTTGAGACCCGTGCTTTAATGGCTGAGGGCTGGATTGGGCCCCAGGCAGGCTGGACGACCAGGGGTCTTTCGCGTGCCAGCCCCTCTGCTCTTATTTCTGATTGGAGGGGAAGTGCAGCCGAGGGGGCTGGATTGGAGGGCTCAAGAGGCCGCAGGAGGCCTGCAGCCAGTGGTTCTGCCCCCCCCCACCCCGCATTACATCAAAGGGGTCTCGTGATCAGGACAGAGATGAAGGGACATTTCTCTGCCAAAGCCCTCAAAGAGCAGCGGCCAGTCAGGAAGGCAGCGCTGGGCCAGGCCGAGAGCGAACCCTGGCGCACTCGCGAGGGCAACGGTCGCCCAAGCTTCATGCAGGACAGGCCTGAGAGAAGATCTGTGTATCTCTGAGGAACAAACCATGAGGCATCTTTAAGGTAAGCAATCCAGGCCCAAGCAAGCGGTTTCTGCACAGGTGCTCCCTCGAGGTCATTCCGTGGCAGCGCTGAAATCTTCAGGTGCTTTGGTACCTATGCCAAGCTTCTCACCCCTGTGGAAACATGCAAGAGCTGCAAAACATGAACTTACGCAACGCAAGGCGATGCCTTAACATGCGATAAGCAGGTTGAAAGGGAGGATGTTTTGAACCCATGGGCAGGAAGAGGAAAATGGGGGACATTGAGAAATTGGCGGCTCAGGGAGGCAACCGGGCGCTTGGCTGGCTAGGCCACACTCAGGATGGACTCGCTGTCCTGCCCAGGGACGTGAGGGCAGCGGAAAGGCGGTGATTTCCTGCTGCTGCAGCAGCAGCGGCTCCCTGGGTCGGGAGGGCAGAGGCGCCGCCTGCCAGGAGACGGCAGCCTTCCAGAGAGGGGGCCCACCCTGAACAGGGGGTGCCGCCGTGTGCACAAGCTGAGCTGCGCTGGTCGCTTCGGGAGTGCTGCCTTCTGCTTTAAAATATTTGGGCCCCAGAGCTGCAGGACACAAATATGTGCACAACACACACCATTTCTTAGGTATCTACATACCCAAACGGAGGGCTAATGATTGGAACTGGCTTGATTACCAGCGGAGGCAAACGCAGCCCGGCTCAGCCGAGAGGAATGCGTCCATGGACTGGCATCCTGGCACAGCTAATCTCAGGCCAGGCGGAAGGGCTTCCCACGCCAAGTGGCCACGCCAAGTGGCCACGCAGGGAGAGGTACTGGGGGACGAAGGCGCCTGGGCGCCCTGGAGGGGTTGGCGCCCCACTCCCCAAAGTCCCTCTGCGGCAGAGCGAGCGAGAGGAGGGGAAACCTCCCGGGGGAGAGAGCAGGCTCTGGGGAAGGGGTCGGGCTGGATCTGCGGGGGCCGCGCTCTCCCTGCCGCCTCTGGGCACAAAAGTGGCCCCGGGAAGAGCCGCGGCTCTCTTCGCGCGCGTCGGTGAGGGGGCTGAAGCGCTGGCCCGCGCCCCCCAAGCACGTTCGCGGGGCACGTGCGGGACAGCGAGCGGCCCCGCTCCGGAAGGCCCGGCACGTGCAGGCAGGCGGCGAGAGGAGCGGGGGCCGCGAGCCTTGTGCGGCCCGGGACCGCGTCCCGCCTCGCGGGGCTGCCTCCGCGGCGCCCTCCAGACGCTTCCCGGCCGGCCCGGCGCTGCGCTGCGCGGCGCTAGGGGGAGCTGCGCGCTCGGGGAGCCGCGCGGCGCCAGGGGGAGCCTTCGGGAGCGGGGCTGCGGGCGAGCGAGCGGGGGCCGCGGCGCGGCGGAGGCGCCTTCTTCC